CAGAGGAAAACCAATCGACAGGCCAGCCCCTCCCTGCCTGGCATGCAGGTGTGCAGAGCTGTTGTGCCTGAGGGCTAGTGCAGGCTAGGCCGGCAGGCGGGAGGGAGGAGTTTTGGAGACGAAAATACTGGCAGGGTGTCACGGACCATAACCGCCCTTCCTGGTGAGGTTGTTTTCTCCCGGCTGACGACGCAGCACTTCCGGCTGGGCCATCTTCTCCGCAGGGCGCGCGCGGGTGGCAATAACGACCCCGAGCCCTACTGCCTCTGTTCTGGCCCAGTCACGTGATTGAGGGACAACCCGCGGCAGCCCTTGGCAAAAGCATCTCTCGCTGAACCTACTGCCGCCACTCCCCACAAAACCCAGCTGCCTGGCTCATTGCCTGACGGAAGGGGGCAGAAGAAGGACGTGCCAACCCAAAGTGGCTTTGCTACTGAGCAGCCAACACCCAAGCAGAGGCCAAGCTTTCACAGTGCCTATTGATTTTGGGGTGCCTGACAACAGACACCTTTAAGGAGCCTGATTCCCACTGCTCTTCCTGACAATGAGTCTGGGAGATGTTGGCAGCAGCACCCAACTCTCTAGTGACGTTCGGAAATCTCCACGATTCCCTAACTAATCGGGGAAGCAATGAAGTCACCGGAGCGCCACGGAGCCACGCCAGCGGAGGATCTGGCCCACGGCCTTTTCATCTGGATCCCCATCCGCCCCCACTTCTCCACAAGAGCTCTGTCGGGAATGGCGTTCAGATCCCCCACTAGCAAACACAACGACGTGGCCAGAGGGACCTTTCAACCTAGCTTAAGAGGCTCCGGAGCCTAGGCCCCACTGCCTTGCAATGAGACTGAGGCTCCTTGGTGCCCACGATGCTTCTTGGAACAGGACTGAGGCTCCTAAATCACTTGGGTGCTGTGGAAGCCTTCCCCCTGGCTCTTCAAGGCAGTACTTCTCACCCGCTTTGAGAAAGCCCTGCCCATGCGCCCGGCAAGAATACACACAACAGGGTGCAAAACAGAGCCAGATAAATCCATGGAGGTTAGGTCTGTCGATGGCTACTAGACGGTGTCCCGGGCCCCTGTCAGAAGCTGGGAATGGGTGACGGGGGAGGGACCACTTGATTCCCTGTTGTGTGCAGTCCCCCTGGGGCACCTGGCATTGGCCACTGGGCAGACAGTGGCCAATGTGTCTGAGACGTGTGTAATTCCCTTGCAGCACCACCCCCGCCCCACCCCAGTCCATCACCAGGCCCAGCTTGGCTGCCTCCGAATCCACCTGTACTCACAACTGCAGCACAGGTGGCATGTCTGTCTTCAGCCCTGCCATCATCACCCCTAGCCCCTGTGCTAGCCCATGGAGACCTCCCCGCCCCGTTCACGCTCTCCAGAGAGGACCCAGAGACACCCAGTTCTGGGGCGTTGCCAAGGCTCGCCCCTAACAAGGAATTGTGGGGGATAACCCCACTGCAGGAGCTGCCCCCTACAACAGCAAATGATGGGGCTGCTGGTTTTCTTTTAGGTCATAGACTCATTGAATCCCAGGGCTGGAAGAGACCTCAGGAGCCATCGCATCCAGCCCCCTGCCCAAAGCAGGACCAACCCAACTCAACCATCCCAGCCAGGGCTTTGTCAAGCCGGGACTTAAGCACCTCTGGGGATGGAGATTCCACCACCTCCCTAGGTAACCCATTCCAGTGCATCTAATATCCAACCTAGTCCTCCCCCACTTCAACTAGACCCCATTTGAGAGCAGCCTTCAACTTCCTGCAGGGGGGTTCCAAAGAGGCTGGAGAGAGGCCGTTCTCAATGGTGACAGATGGCAGAACAAGGAGCAATGGGGCAAAAGGGAACGAAAGCCCAATTTTCTCCGTAAGGACAGTGCGGCAGAAATCCTGGAACGTGGGACTTGCCGTTCGTTACGCCTTCCCTCCAGAGCCATTGCCCTTATTTAAACAGGAATGCACCCCGAGAGAGGCTGGTCACCAGCAGCAGCCAGGGGAATGAGACGTGCTTAGACCCTTGCACGTGCCCTGCCTGGGGAGGGGGAGGGGCAGCTCTGGGGCTATTCGGACCAGCGGCATGTGCCTGTTTTTGATAATGGCCAGAGAGCATTTGTCAACCTCTCCTCACATTGCACCTCAGGTTCACTGCTGCTGTTCCAAACTCCAGAGCAATGAAGCAGAGCCCGAGCGTGGCCAATTTCAGCCTGGAAGGTAGAACGGAAATACCCATGGGTGAGACTAGGACCTAGTCTGCAGCCAGGGCTGGAGTGGTCACCATGAGCATGTCTCCGCTGCACACTGCCCAGGTTCTGTCACCTTACTGGAGTTTGAGGGGAGCAGCCACTGCTGCACCCGTAGGTGGGGGTGTTGGCCCAAAAAATGGTATAAAAGGGGGCCATGTGAGGTGTTGAATAGAAGCTTACTGTCTGCTAGTCCTGTGTACGCTGATCATGTGATTGTATAATGTCTGTGTGTGGAGTTAGGAGTCTGTAATCTGTGTGGATACTGAATATTTCTCTGCATGTGGTTGAGCATTGGGCAGAGCCCAGCCTATGGACATGCTAATCAGCGAGGCCCTGTGGGACAATGGCTCTCAATGGGCCAAGGACACACCTAAAGAATGAGGGTGACTCATACCTAAGGGCTACCAGCAGAGAACACAGTAATGAGCCGTGGGCCAGGTGACCTGCTGTAGCCAAGAGGAGACCAGGAAGGAGGGATAAATAGGCCATGTGGTGGACTCCATCTTGGTTCTCAGCTCAGCACTTCATCCCAGAGGCAGCAATGCAGGGATCGAAGAGCCCGGAAGACCTGTGAACCCATCCTGATCCTAGGATGTGCAATAAGGACTTTTAAACCAGCAGCTGTAACATCTCTGCTAGAGCCTGCATCGAGGACTGGGAGACGCGGTGCATGTAATGTATGATTCTTTAGCAACCTTACTCTCATGCTTTTCTTTCTTGTGATAATAAACCTTTAGTTGTTAGATGCTAAAGGATTGGCCCAGCGTGATTTGTGGGTAAGGTCCAGAGGGTAAATTGACCAGGGA